TACTTACCTACGTTACTACCGTACGTACGTACCTACGTACGTACTACGTACGTACGTACGTACGTACGTACTACTACTACTACTACTACTACTCTCTCTCTCTCTCTCTCTCTCTCTCTCTCTCTCTCTCTCTCTCTCTCTCTCTCTCTCTCTCTCGATATATATATATATATATATACATACATTCAAATATATGATTTTTTTTTTTTTTCAAAATGGAAAATTTTATGTTGATTACACATTAGATAGATGACAAGAAGCCAACCTACAGATATTGCAGCTTTCAGCCTCATATCTTAGGAAAACCAAAGGCCAAACATAAGAGTCAAGGCTGCCCCATTTGTACAGAAGTATGTCTTACATAAGTGTTGAGCGTAAAGGTGTCAGCACAAAAAAACTTATATACATATGTACCTATGAAATCCAAGCTACCATGAGCAAGCAAAGCTCCATAAAAGTGGCCTACTACTTGTTTTTTTTTTTTTGACAAGGTTACTTAGGAATGGAACTTGTGACGTTAGGCTATGAAAACCCAGCCTCTACCGTCTTGACCCAAGCCCAATTCCTATGGCCTACTACTCATTTTGATAAGAAAGAGTACTAATCTGAATTCATCAAAACATTCCATTGATTCAAGGAGCCACTTGAAGGTATTCTCACCAAGTCTTCATCAAAAGTTCAGACTTCAGACAATACATGTGTCATGCATACTCCCGCTTGAGGGATGTACTGGGAAGGTTCAAGAACTTAATTACTGAGAGGTTCAATTGTGAAGGTTCAAGAGCTTAGTAACTCTATCACTCTTCTTAAGTATCACATAAGACAAACTCAGCTCCAAGGCAGTTTTAATCGATGACCAGTTTATGTAAATGCTTCTTATGATCACAATTGATTACTTTCCACAAGCAAAATACTTTCTATAATTGGAGAATGCCCTGTATATTGTTTGTTGATGTGATTAGGGTTCCTTATTTTACATTTTAAGAGAATGAATTAATAGTTATCTGGTCATTTAATTCTGTAGATATTTTAGGAGTATTTACATCCTTTTATTGTTGCAGAGAATTAAGAGGTAGAATAAGAAGTTTAATTTTGGAAAATGAAGGGCTAGGATTTAATAGTGATTAGGGATTCTTGTGGGTAAAGTTAGGTTTCTAAGGTTTTTATTCCCTTATAAATTTGTATACTTTCAAAAAGAACAGAAAAAAAGAAGAATTGAGTTTTTCTTTGGAGTGGACTCCCTTGCAGATCTAGGGAGATGATATATTCTTTTGTATTTATTTATTTTAGTTTCTTTATTTTCTCTCTCTCTCCTCCACACATCGTCTCTTCCTTGTTTATGTTTAAATCTTTAGTTCCATAGGCCAAAAACTAGTTCTACCACACTAAACAAAGAGCAACTCCGCAACTCCCCACAATCACCATCACCACCACCACCACCCCGCCTGGAAATGCCTATCCACTGTGAGCTTTGTTATCATGGTTATTACTAAGAATCCCTTCCCTGTTTCACAGTCAAGCTGTCAACCTAGTAGCTCATAAACATCAAATATTTCTCTACCATATCTCCCAATTTCAGACCTTGAACCACTTCCCTCATGTCTGCAACTCTTAGTTGCAAATTATACCAGTTGTTGACTATTTTCTCTCTCACATCCCTACAGCACTGGTTTCTCTCGCTTATGTTAAACTTAGAATTTTATCTCCAGAACTAGTTCTCTACATTCCACCCTAGAAAAGGAAAGCCCCAGCTTGTTGGCCTTAGCAAATACTTTTTTTTGTTGGCCTTAAGACTTCACTACCCAAGAACTCTCTCCCCTTATCCTTCCAAGCTTTGTTATCACGGTCACCACTGAGGCATGCTTACCTCATTTCACAGCCAACTGTCAAACTAGCCCATAACCAACAAGATTCTCCCCACCGTATTCCTAATATAGACCTTTTACCATTCCCCTCACACACCTTAGTTTTTGTTGTATGTTACCCCAGTGTGGAACAACGATAAAATAATACATCTTGCTTCAAGATCAACCTCAAGGATGAAATCTTGAGAATATCAACTGTACAAAGATTTTGCACAGGTTAATAGTACCTCGAATAATTCATATGCTAACTACTTCCCAATGACATATTACAAGTTCAATATACATACTTTATCTTTCATTTTCTTACTTTATTGTATTGTAAACCCTCTTTGTTAAAAATTCACAAAATGGGTGATTCATGACAGGCAACTGGCCTTAGGCACTCAGACCTGTATCCGTAACTGCAAAAATTGCCCTATAGGACACAGATAGCAAAGATAATCAATTGGAAAATTATATTACAACATGCTGTTGACGAAACCATAACACATTCCAAGGTTCAAAGCTTTGAGATTCTCACAAAATAACATCATCAAACAGAAGGAAAATTGACATTTTAGATAACTATTTAAAAGCTTAAAATATGAAAAATAAAATGGACAATATAATTAAAAGGTTCATAACAGGAACTAAAGAGGTTCTAGATTCACAGAAAACAAGCCATGATATTAACAGTAAAGGAACTTGTGTCACCTGGCTCAAGAAATTCATGCACTCCTTAATGACATCTCTGAATCTGTCATCATCATACCATCCTAGCTTTGTAACACGGCATAGTAACTGGATCAGAGATCCAGTTACATAGGATGGCAATTCGGGTCCTCTTCTAGCCAAATAGCTGATTATGTAGTTTCCTGCAAATGTATTAGAAGGACGCCAATTCAGGAAAATCATATGAATTCTAGCACAAAGACAAACTAAGTTGATATCAATATTAGGCCATGAAGTCATCAAATGTGGAAATCTGATAAATGAAAGCTTTCAGAAGCTCATCAATACTATCCAATATCGTAGCCACTATATCTCCCAAAACAAAAGGCAGTAACACTGAGATTGCAGAGTCAGAGTAATACGGATATCAAGCCGCAGCTGCAATGAAAGACGGTGCTCAGTCACTTGTTTCAATAAGCTTGAACTCGCCAGCATCAATGCATATGGTGAAAAAGCATTGTCCAAAATGTATTGACATTGAGAAATAAAGTCAGTGTTCACTGAGAAGCACTTTAACGTGCTTTCAGCATGAGCTCGTTCTGCTGCATCCTGTGAATTGTAAAGCCTTTCACACAAGGCTTCCAGTTGTGCTAAGCTCTCCATGGATTGAAGAACAAGAAGAGTATTCAAAATTTAGGTGACCCAGAATCCACCATTAAAGAAGTTTATTGTTTCTCCTTCCCATCGATACAGAATACACATCTACATATTCCCATAAAATGTTGTCAAACATGCAGTGAAAAAAAAAACAAAAAACAAAAAAAGAGGAATTCCAAAACACCTTCTTAGTTCAAATTTAAATATCAATGGTGCTAACCAAGTGGAGAAGATAAAATATGAATTGTACTAGCACGGGAATGTTGCAAATTACATAAGTGTACAATACAGTATTTCATTCTGAATGAATCCCATCTTTAAACAATGGTCATGAGAAGCTCAAAATATAATTTCAGAACTCCAGCACAATGACAAGGGGCAAGATGTATGCAATTAATGTTGCACGAAAGAAGCACCAAGGTCCGAGTGTAAGTTACTTCTCAACATCACTCCTGAAACCCCAAAAAAGAAACAATGTAAGCAGCAAGAACTGGTACTTCATCTTGAACAGAAGCTCAAGAAGTTTACCCAAGCAAGCAGAAAACTAGAAAGAAGTGTTACAAATATAATACAAGCTCCAATAACTCAATGAAAATCATTGCAAAACACAAAATTAAAACCTCAACAAGACAAGTTAACACTTACCAGATGATAAACAAAATCACCCGTGAGAAACAAAGTTCAAAGCCATCACATTTGCCCACGGGCTAGTGGCTCTTCACCATTATGCCAACACCATTTGCTTCAAAGGACGTTGTTCAACATCCTCAAGCATTTGACCTCCAATACACATGTATCCTAGATTTTTAAACATCCCTCATCTAACTAGCTGATATTGTGACCCTTATTCCCACTACTAAACTCTCACGAATTTCTCAACCACCCTAAATGGTATTATAAGATTGGGGATGCAGAGAACTTTGCTCAACATCCTCAAGCATTTGATCCCCAATACTCATGTCTCCTAGGTTTGCAAACATCCTCTCATCTAACGAGCTGACATTTGTGACTCCTATGCCAATCCAAACTCCCATGAATTTCTGAACCTCCCTGAATGCTATGTAAAATTGGGAGTTTAGTAGGCCGAAATGTCACAAAATGCTGCCCCAATTGGGATATCTTCCTTGATGCATAAGAGAGGCCAAAGAGATCTACTGGCTGTGTACCCTACCTTGCATCCCATCTCACTGCCAAACTCCTTAGCAGAAGTCTTACAACTTTAAAACAGCAAACTTACTGAGACTGAATCTCACCCACAGAAGCAGCACTTTGACATGCGTGCGACTAAAGACGACTTCATAAAATATTAATATTTGTTTGGTTTGGAGATTATGATCATATGTAAAGTGAAACTCTTGGTCAGGCTATATTAAGAAAGTGCACACATATTGTGGAACATTATTCTGGTCAATGGCATATTAAAGTCTGTGCCATGTTTTTGGATTTTGTATTTGTTCTCAGTGCTGGGATATTTTTCTTCATATTAAGTCTCATTGTTGGAATTTCAGAAAAACAATATGAATATTTATATCTTTAAATAGACAGAGAGATAATCGTTCTACTCTTCCAAATGGCCAAGCCCAGAGCCAAGTACCGCTTTTTCAACCCTTCTGGTCACAGAGCATTGCTCAGTCATACAAACAAAGCAATCTCTTGTTTCAATGTTTGATAGATATTCAAACAAGAATGCAATCAAATTTTTTAAACATGTTACGCGCTCTAATAGCAAAAGAATGTTTTAGCTAATACCAATCAGGGGAGAATGCAACCTTTTCTTTTTCTTCTTCGATAGACATTGACAACAACGCAGTCAAGATGGTAACATATTACACATTCCAATTCAAAGGAAACATCAGTTACTCCACACCTTGTATTACTCCAGAATTCCAGTAAAAAAATAGAAATATCAAAACAATGTCATCATCCATCCAACATTGAAGCAACCTGATGATGAAATTATCATGCTATATATTAAAATAATACTATAGAAATTTGTATGCTCCCACAATGCTTTCTATCATATAAGGACATTCCATTTCCATTGAAGAACCTCAAATGTTGGTTCAAGTAGCATCTAGCCACTAAAATCATCAAAGAAAAAAGAAAACAAAAACAAATGCCAAACAAAGCACTGAAACATATCAAAGGGGCATCAGGCCAAAGAAACTACCACTTTCAATACAATTTCACCCCTTTATCCAAAATTTATCATTTCTCTGCCAATTATTAATAAGGAAAAAAAGATATGCCCCATAACCAGAACATAACATCAAGCTTTGAATTCATCAAATTGCAACGAATTTTTGTTTCCCTGAATCCTGCCCAAATACAGAAGCTAAAAATGACTGAAAAAACAATATGGAAAATCATATCAACTGAAAACCAATGAAGATAAACAAAGAAAAAGAAAACGACTTACAGGCAAGTTTCTGGAAAAAATTGCTAGATTGATGCCTCGAAAAAACCCTAGAAAACCTGCGAATCGAGAGTTGTAAAAGCGTTTATAGAGAGAGAAAGAAACAAGATTCAATGAACTTTGCCGACATTGTAAGGAAAGATCCAGCTTTCGTCTAAAATAAATCCTAAGCAGAAATGCCTATATTTGGGGAGAGAAAGATAACGAGAGGTTTCATGCCTGATGCACAGCTAAATCCATGATGCCCAAATGTGCCCTGTTATTTTCTGCAATATCTAAATGGTCCCTCTAGAGTTGATTAAACCCTACGTAGGATTAATCTTAGGTAAAACCCTGCCAAGGATTAATTTTAGGACCTACCCAAACCAAAAAATAAAAAAAAAGACAGGACTCCAAATTTTTGGGGAAAAACTATTAAACTCGAGCCGAGGCTCTAAATAAAAAAAAGGGAAAAGTTTGTATAGAGCGGGGGCTCTAAATAATCAAATCAAAGGCTACCTCAAAATTTTACTAAAATAGGTTGATTTGATGCTCAAATATCGTCAAATTGATCATCTTGACATTAAGATGTGTGAACATGAAAAAAAAAAAAAATGGATTTCAAGTTTTAGGAAATAATGTATTTTGTAACACATTTTTTTACCATCAATTTTCAACATTTTCAACATTTTCAAGTTTTCATAGATCTATAAATCTACACTATTTTTGAAGCCTTAAACTTTATAAATAGATATGAAAATATATTTTAAGGCATTCACAAAGATTTTCGATATTGATACCACATTTCTCGACATTGTTTTGAGGTAGGCTCTGATTTGATTGATTAGCCTAGGCTCTATACAAACCGCATCCATAAAAAAAGGGTGTGGTTTGTAGAGCCTAGGCTCTAAACAATCAAATAAGAGCTTACCTTCAAATAGTGTCGAAAAATCTGGTTTCAATACTAGAAATCTTTGTGATAGCCTTCAAATATATTTTCATCATTATTTATAAAATTTAAAGCTTCAAAAATACTGTAGATTGACAGATCTATGAAAACTTGAAAATATTAAAAATTGACAGTCAAAAAATTGGTTACAAAATACACAATTTCTAATATTTGAAATCCATTTTTTTCTCATGTCCATTCATCTTGATGTCGAGATGATCAACTTAGGATATTTAGGCATCAAAACAATCTATTCTAGTGAAATTTTTGAGGTAGGCTCTAATTTGATTGTCTAGGGCCTCGGCTCTATATAAACTTCTCCCATAAAAAAAATCCTTCTAATTACACCCTCTATGCACTTGAAAAAAATAGTGTCTCAAGATTGAATAGAGAGCATCCAAATTTCATAGGGTGATATCTCAGTGTTAGAAAACTCAAGTTTCAAATTATGCATATTTGAAACTATAATTTTGAATTAATAAAAAGGAAAAGGAAAATTGTTTCATACAGGTTGGACAGCATTTCTACAATGGTGTAGTTTGTATAGAGTCGAGGCTCTAAACAATCAAAGTAAAGCACACCTTCAAAAAGTGTTGAGAAATGTGGTTTTAGTACTGCCTTAAAATATATTTCTATCTTTAATAATAAAATTTAAAGCTTCTAAAATAGTGTAGAACTAGCAGATTCATAAAAACTTGAAAATCTTGAAAATTGACAGTCAAAATATGCGTTACAAGATGCACTATTTTCAAAACTTAAAATCTATTTTTTTCTCATATCCATGCATCTTGATGTCGAAATGATCAATTTGAGTATATTTGGGCATCAAAACAATCTCTTTTAGTAAAATCTTTAAGGTGGGCTTTCATTTGATTGTTTAGAGAAGTTTTTTCTGCTACAATATGAGGTCCAGAGGTATAAAGCATTCATCTTAAGTATGGATGCAAGTAGGTGGTCCATCTAAAAAAAATTGTAACTAATGGTCCAATTTTATTTAATATAATTATTATTTCTAGTTTCCAATATTTATTTATTTTTTACATTCAAGATCTCCATGTTAAAGATTATATATTATCTAAAACCTAGGATCAAATTATATTTAAAATATATATTTATTGTCAAGCCCGCATTTCTATAATTTATGGGTTGGCCGCATGCTAACCACATCCTAAGAAAAACGTTTATAAAAGGTTGAGGCCCTAAACAATCAAACAAAGGTGTACCTCAAAAATTCAACCTTGAGATACATGGACATAAAAAACATATAGACTTCAAGTCTTAAAAATCGTGCATCTTGTAATGCATTATTTAGACCGACAATTTTTAAGATTTTCAAGAGATCATAGATCTGCATGATCTACACTATCTTTAAATTTTAATGTTCAATATGAAAATAAATTTTCAGGCCATCATATAGATTATTTATATTGAAACGATATCTTTCGATACAATATAAAGATGTGTCTTACTTTGATCAGCTAGGGCCACAGCCTTATATAAACCACACCCTTAGTAAAAAGGCAAGAATATGTCAAATAAAGAATTAAAGCAGTTACTATCAATTGAGTCAATTCATAACTGTAAGTTATCTAATGAAGTAATAAGATTCTTTTTGCTAAACCAAAATTTCCTCATGAATTTTTTTTTTTTTTACCAACATTTGTTGCATCTGGTTAGGTAAACCAAATTCAACTAGTTTACAGAATCAAGTTTGCGCGATCAAAATCTGATTCAGCTCTTAATTATTGCCATGTTTAAGAGATTAAATATTTTTTGGCATGTCAAATGCACCCCAAAATATATTTCAAAGTTATTCGAGAAGTTTTATGTGAGTCTGTAACATATTTTGTAGCTTATTTGAGTTCTACTTTTCACACCCATTAAGTTGCATGCATGTTCAAAAAATGCGGCCGCGTTATGACTGATATAAAATGAAAAGTACTAGCTTTTATCCCAAATATAAGAGTATGATTTTTAATGTAACTCAAAAGTAAGGCTTTCAAATGGAATTTTACATGGAAACCGTAACAATCAAGTGCATGAGCCAAATAAGTTGTAAAGGTTAACCATTATGCTCATTTTGTTTTATCTTTTTAGTTATAACAACAGCTTTTCAGAAATATGATAAAGAACAAAAATAATTTTATGAGACATGGCCCTATGTGAAATACATAGGACCCCAATCTCCATTATGATTGACCTAACGCTAATGGAGAGTATCACTCTAACTCTATCAGAAGTCCTCAATTATCTACTAGGTAGAGTTACAAATCATCTTTAGACATTAATAGTGGGGCTCGAGATTGTTGGTTCATGCGGATTGTTCATCTCTTTTGAGTGCCAATTAGACTGACAATTGATACAGAGATGAAAGTGAATTCTAATGAGTTTAGAATCAATACTTGAGAGATATAACTGGATAAGGAATTTTGAAATCATATTTTAGTACTAATATTGGATAAATAGTATTCAAAATGGCTTCTATTGAAATTAGGAGATGAATTTGAATGCTGAAATCTCTATCAAATTATACTGAAGTTGGACAGTAGCATATGGATAAAGGAATCTAGATTCGATACATCTCAATTAGAAATGGTGAAGATAAGATCCAATCCAAGCATAAAGCTTTGGCATGACTTTATTATAAATAAAAGGAAGAGCAAGAGGATGACAACACTCATATAAAAGGCTTCCCCATACTGCAGACCCACCCATACTGCAGCAAAGTGGCCCAATTAGCTAAAACTTTCTTGCTTGTGTGGGTTGCTAGCTTGCTAGCCTACATCACATGCTAATTAGGCTAGCCAACCAACTAGGTGGGCTTGTTCATGGCCTTGTCTGATGTATTTGATGATTTGTAAGCCCACATTAGAGGGTTCGTGTAATCCACCAAGCGAGCCTTTTGACTTGGCAATGACTTGCATTGGCCACGCTTGGTCTAGCATTCTAAATTCATTGTAAGGCATATAAGCCAGATTTTGATTGCGATGGCTTCTAGAAAGCAATGTAACATTATCTAAATCATATGAAATCTCGATGGCAGTATCATTTTTTACTATTTCACATTACTTGATCACTCCCACTAAATCTCAAATCAAATGGATGTCACTAGGCCTCAATTCAATGATTCACTGCTTTTAGATAGTTCGTATAGAAGATTGATCAATATAAACTTTGCGAAACCTACTTACCAAAGTCTAAATTGCATAAAACAAGCTTGTCATGTCTCTTATTAATTAGTTCCAAAGTTTCAGCTTGATAGAGTTGGATATCATGATATTTCAAAATTCATCACAATCAGTTATGTAGACTAGAATGTAATTGTGGTAAACCTTAGTTCAACCCCTTATCACTTTCCAAATCCTGTAAAATTGAATTTATAGGTTTTTGAATGATTTCTCAATCGTTCAGCAAAAATTTCAAATCAACCATGACTATTTTAATGAATTTCTCATGTTCACCACATCTTAGGACAATATAGTCATTTGTTGACTATGGCAAATATTGTTTGGATTCTATTTGAAGCCTAGATAACTTAAAGACCACCCAAACTCCTACCACCAAAATCCGGCTTAAAAGAACTGACTCTAAAGCCAATGAGCCAACCTTGTGCATTTGGTAACACTAATAATTTTAATCCCTTATTTGCTCTTGTCAAGAAGTCTAATGAGTGTAATCTAAATATGTAGGCCAAGAAAGTATATAAAAAAAAAAAGTCTCGCGTATCCTACAAGAGAGTAGATGATTATCTTATGTATGTCACATTAAGTATATATTATAAATTTACAATGGTTTAGAGCTTATTAGTCCCTACTAAAGAAGTATAGGTCTAGGCAATGGAAAGAATATTAAGATATCCCATGGAACCTCAAACTACACGTTGACCTTTTAAGGAGGTGATCAATAAATGGAAGGCTACCTAGGAAGGTGACTTGGATAAAGGTATATTAATATTAATGTTTATCTTAGCCATCAAGGATGAGCAATTTCCTAGTGTAGCAAGAAGCAGACGGACATGGCATTGTTTGCATTGGAGTCAGAGTATATTGCTAATTGTACAATATCTTAGGAGTCATACAGCTCAAAAGAGCACTAGCTTTCATGGAGGATCTTAAGTACAATAGTAAAAGCGCATAGATATTAAGCATCATTACGTATGAGACGACATTGAGAGGAATCACGACACTATCGACACCTATTTTAGTCTATTGAATTCTGAGATGATCTGCACTATAAATGTGACCAAGAACCTAGGAAATACCTTACATTAGTCATCTAAAGCTA